AGAAAGTTCGGTCATCGCGTTATCAGCCGTTTTGGAGACGTTCATTAGCCAGCCCGCAGCTGTGATTTGACGCCCATGGGCTACTGTTAAAGACCACTGTTAAACTAACGATCCTCAAACAATTGATGTTCTTAAGGAAAATATCCGTCGAGCTATTGATAAAATAGATCCAAAAACTATCGAAAATGTTCTTCAAAATTGGGTTAAGAGGATGGACTACTGCCAGACCAGCCGCGGTCGTCATTCAACTGAAATTGTTTTTCATCAATAATCGGAAGGTGTATTCATTTGAAGAAAGTAACGAGTGTTACATATTATTGAAGAGTGTAGTTTTAGTACCAATTTAAAAAAGAAACCAACGGATGGCCCACCCTTTAGTTTTTCATATCCACATGAATTGTCTAAACGCCAGGGAAGATTATATAAATGAAATGGAAGAAAGGAAGAAAAATATCAAGAATAGTTATGTAGATATGATTTGTAGAATTTTCACCAAAACATTTTTTGTGCTGGGTACATCCTTGATTTGGTGAAATCTATCTTATCGAGATTTTAACGAATTTTGCTCATTTTGTTTTTAAATATTATATTTATACTAAGTGACATATAAATCCGAACGCCCACTTTAAATGGTTTTATTTTAATAAAATTTTGTATAAGTACTTAATGAAGCATAATAAGTAAATGATAAAAATTTCAAAATCATTGCACTGCTTTAAAGCCCTTTGACCTTTAATAATGTGTGGATGCACCCTGATGTGCAACGGATTCTCCAACGCGCCTAGGCATGCTTCTGATCAGGTGGTCAATGTCCTCCTGTGGTATCTCATTCCAGGCAACCACCAACTCCTCTCGAAGTGCTTCTAGAGTCTGAGGAGGACGTTGCAAATTGAGCAATCTCCTACCCATCATATCCCACACGTGCTCAATTGGGGATAAGTCGGGAGATCTTGGTGGCCATGGTAACAATGTGACATCATTATGTTGAAAGAAGTCTATTGTGACTCTTGCAACATGTGGTCGGGCGTTATCTTGTTGGAAAGTTGGATCTGCCAGGGTGTCAAGATAGGGTAAAAGATGGGGTTCTAGAACTTCGTGGATATAACGCTGCGCGTTCACGTTACCTCTGATGAAGATTAAAGGTGACCTGGAACCATAAGCTATAGCACCCCAAACCATAACTCCAACAGTGTGATGAACATGTCTTTCAACAAAAAACTGTGGATTCCTCCTTTCACCACGTCGCCTTCTAACCCTGGCACGACCATTGTGCATGCCTAAACAAAATCGAGACTCGTCACTAAAGACAATACTGTTCCATTCCTGATCCCAGAGTGACCGTTGTCTGCACCACTCAAGGCGATTACGTCGGTGTTCTCCAGTTAAAGGGAGGACCCAGTGTGGCCGGTATGATAACAAGCCAAAACTTCTCATTCGTCGATAAACACTTCGCATGCCAATAGGTCTTCCGTGTTCTGCAAACCATTCATTTGCAATGGACCTGGTAGTGGAGAAACGGTCCCAAAAGGCCAATAATCTTAGGCGGCGATTTTCACGGTCTGTTGTTCTACGGAGGCGTCCAGTGCCCCTTGCTCTTTGCGTACGGCCTTCTCGAAGAGATGCCTGACAACACCTAACCACAGTGTCTACACTTATTTGCACTCTAACTGCAATTGCCCGAAAAGAAAGTCCAGCTTCCCGAAGTCCCACTATACAGCCCCTATCAAACTCACTAAGTTGACGAAATCGTACAGGTCTCCGTACTCTAGGCATCGTAACCGATCTTAAAGGATGTCAAGAACCAAAATCCGCCAACATTGATTCTTTACTGCGGCTGAAATATTCATTTTTCGAGCGTTAGTGAATTAAAAAAAGCAGTATAAAAACCGGAATGTCCAACTGATAAGGCTGAAAATTTTTTCACTTGTTATTTACAGTAAGATAAATACATTCAACAACTTTTATTAAAATAAAACCATATAAACAGGGTGTTCGGACTTATATGTCACTTAGTATATTTACTCATTGTTATCATCCGTTTAATTTTCATAGTTTGATTTAATGCTGCTAGCTTTGACCGTTAGGTATTTTGTTTGTTGCCGCAAAGACATTATTATAATAAATAATATCTAACTAATTTATCATTACGTACATAAATAATTCGTAATTATTTTATTGCCACACACGTACTATATCATTTAGGTTCAGAAAAACTTGCTACTAGTAATGCTGCTTCTAGATATTAATAGTCTCAAAACTATGTTGATTAGTTTGTTAAGATAGAAAGACGCAAGAGCCCATACAAGTTTGCGCGAAACACGTTTTACCTTTTCGTAAGAATGGCCGCTTGTGTATATAAATATTCAGGGCGAGTCAAAAATCTGTAAATTAATTTTAACTGATGATAGAGATCACCAAGGCAACAACTTTTTTTACTACACTATTTTAATTCGAAATATGAATTTATAAACTTTTACCAAAATATTTTCAAAATTTCAGTGGACGATATACAGGGTGTTTCAGTTTATTGTTGCATAACTTTAAGATTCGATAGAACTTTTAAAATTAATGCATACAGTCTATATAAACATGGCTCGAAAAATGCGTGGCTTCCGAAATACAGGGTGTTTAAATTTACTTTCTAAAATAGTATTTTTAAATATTTCGAACAATATTTGATGTATAACAGTGAAAATTGGTATACAAGGGTTTTTTGGTACGGCAAAACGAACCAATGGCATAGTTTTACTGTAGCCGCTATAGGGCGCTCTCTACTGTACCTGTAGTGTATTAAAATGACCGAAAAATTTTTCAGTGCAATTGTTTGCTTTCTGAATAAAAAAATTGATTCTTCGCACTTTTCTGCATAAAAAAGCTCTCCTGTAAGTTTTCGTTATAGTTAGCCGTTTTTGAGATATTTCGATTTTTAAGGTTCGATGAATTTTTAATTATTTATGGGAAAATAATATTTTTTTTACATTTTCGATTTGGGCATTACAAGTAATTAAGATGATCGTTTTTTGTGTTTTTAAACACAGCAATAATTCCTAACTCCAAATAAACACAAAAAACAGAATATTAATTTGTTTAATTTTCCAATTAAATTAAATGAATATTGGATGCTATTGGATAGTTAGGACAAACATACAAAATCTAAAGTAGTTGCTCGAAATCTAAACCCAATTGTTCAATACACAATTCACATCTACGAATGATCGAACGTGGTATAGCATTATTCAAATAAGGCCTTATTTCATCACATGCATTCCTGATTCTACCTATTAGCATATCTCTTGTGGTTACGGGAGTCTGGTACACTTTTTCCTTTATAAATCCCCACACAAAGAAATCTAATGGATTTAGGTCAGGGGATCGTGGAGGCCAGGCGACTGGTCCTCCACGCCCGATCCATCTTTCTGGATAATTTTCGTCCAGCCAGTTCTAACTATTCTCGAACAATGAGCTGGACAACCATCAAGCTGGAACCAGGCCAATTTTCTTAAATCTTACATAACATCATCCCACATATTTGCATGTTGAGCCTTTAAAAATTTCAAGAAGGTCGCGGCATTTAAACTTGCAGGCAGGTAGGGTCCAAATAGTCGATTACGGTAGATACCAATCCACACGTTCACACTAAATTCATGCTGAAAATTTCTTTCCCGAACTGCATGCGGATTTTCATGCGACCAAATATGTTGATTATGAAATCTCCAAAGAGATCAAAACATAAATTTTCGTCAGCGCAGATTTACCCGTATGATTGTGCGTGAGTTTGATAGAGATCCGACCACAAGTGTTAGGAGAGTTTCTGGTGCCTTGGGAATTTCAGCAAGCCCTGTTCACCGTGTTCTTAGAAATGACCATAGACGTCCTTACCATTTGCAACCTGTGCAAGAACTACAGCTAGGGGACGGAGAACGAAGAACCACATTTTGTCAGTGGATTCTTGATAGAACTGATAATAATAGAGAGTTTTTAAGTAACGTTTTATGGACCGATGAGTCATGCTTCACTAGACGTGGAGTGGTAAATTTTCATAATCAACATTTGGTCGCATGAAAATCCGCATGCAGTTCGGGAAAGAAATTTTCAGCATGAATTTAGTGTGAACGTGTGGATTGGTATCTACCGTAATCGACTATTTGGACCCTACCTTTTGCCTGCAAGGTTAAATGCTGCGACCTTCTTGGAATTTTTAAAGGCTGAACATGCAAATATGTGGGATGATGTTATGTAAGATTTAAGAAGATTGGCCTGGTTCCAGCTTGATGGTTGTCCAGCTCATTATTCGAGAATAATTAGAAACTGGCTGGACGAAAATTATCCAGAAGGAAGGATCGGCTGTGGAGGACCAGTCGCCTGGCCTCCATGATCCCCTGACCTAAATCCATTTGATTTCTTTGTGTGGGCATTTATAAAGGAAAAAGTGTACCAGACTCCCGTAACCACAAGAGATATGCTAATAGACAGAATCGGGAATGCATGTGATGAAATAAGGCCTTATTTGAATAATGCTATACCACGTTCGATCATTCGTAGATGTGAATTGTGTATTGAACAATTGGGTTTACATTTCGAGCAACTACTTTAGATTTTGTATGTTTGTCCTAACTATCCAATAGCATTTTAGTTGTAAATAATTAATTTAATTTGTTAAAAATAATATTGGAAAATTAAACAAATTAATATTCTGTTTTTTGTGTTTATTTGGAGTTAGAAATTATTGCTGTGTTTAAAAACACAATCTAAACGATCATCTTAATTACTTGTAATCGTACCAAAAAAACCCTTGTATACCAATTTTCACTGTTATACATCAAATCTATCGAATCTTAAAGTTATGCAACAATAAACTGAAACACCTTGTATAGAAGAAAATGGTGCATGCAAATAATGAGATCTATCAATAGCTGAAATTGATTGCATGCATATTTTAGGCAACGTTTGTGAGCATGATCATAACGGTAAAGATGTTGAACAATTTTTTTCTTTTTCAGGAAGAGGAGTCGAATGGCACTTGATCCGTAATAGTACTTAGGCGAAAGAAAACCAAAGAGATAGTAAAAGTAATCTAGACGTACGTTGATAAACAATAATTCCAAAAGCGTGTAATATAATAATTATAGTATATCCAGGAAATAAGCGCATTTAGATCTACAGAAATTAGTGGGTTATTGATAGATTTTGTATAATCTTACACCTAAGTATTAATTTTGTTAATAACACAATCCTTAAAAATAAAAAGTGGTGTATGCTGGGGAACGCACTATATTTTTCACATCTATTTTTTCTCGCTGAAGTCAGAATTGATGGTCACTGGACTAATATGAATATAATTCAGCCATTAAGATGGCAGATTTTGTAATTCTGATGTCTAAATTACTAGTGCAACACGCAACTTATTGTTGTGGAGCTGTGTGATATTTGAAAGTTGTCTTATAGACGCAAAGTTATCTCAAGGGTGAGCTTGACTTGATTGGAAAACCCAATATAATTGAAAAACAAGACAGTATATGTGTATATCTTGTTTCAAAAATATAGACTCAAATCTTATAGCTTTCACTTACAGTGGTTATTGTTCTTTCATTCCAACTTTTATGGGCTATGGATCAATTTTCGTGCACAAAAAATGTTGTTGATATTGGGTACTTTTGACAGTACTGTAGCGCTTTCCTTGAATCTACGTATCTCCAAACTAATTTGCGACCCTACCAATTTCTGCAAATCTAGATAATGTTCAAGCTTCTATTTCCTAGAATGTACACTGACCCTTTACCTACTAATATTACTACGACTATGTACTACCTACTGCATGCAACTGTTATATCTCCGAACCAGTAACGAGTCGTCTGTATCCGAATGAGCAGCTGAAACTGAAAATGTGTTTTCTCGAATCTCAATCACTTTTAAATATACGCTGATAGAGGATATGTATGCAAGCAGCCTATTTCCATTAAGAGTGTTCGCTATGAAAATCTATAAACACCGATTTTATACGTGTGTACAGGGTTTTACCTTCAAACATGTTTAACAGGTCAGATACCAAAGTAATACCAAATCTACGATTTTACGCCTCAAATATTTTGATCGCAAACAATTCCGAATTAATGTACGAAAAAATGGTACCATCCTCAAATCAACATATTCTTTAGGTATGCCGCAGCCCTTTTACGGGAATTGGCTATGACCAAAATTGGCAAAAAAACGATTTTTAGATGTTCACTGAATGTTTGTTGGAAAACTTTCCATGATTTGAAAAAGACTAATTCTTTGGCGGAACAGGTCTCTCAGAAATCACCGCATACCTTTTTGAACAAACTATTTTTTGGAACCGGCGGCGAACGACAAGGTCAGATTCATTCGGATTACTCCAGGGCTGTTTTTTGTATTTTTTTTGTATTCCCTTTTCATCGCGTGAAATAAAACACGTTACTGCCTTATTGTTTCCATCTTATTGCACTGTGGAAAAAATCTTGGATCTCCCTGGAATCGCATCTTTTCACTGAATTTAGATCTCTATGTATTCCGTCATATTTGGGCAGGTGTGCCTCATTTTTCTGTTCAAACTAAATTATCAAGTAGTGATCCTCTCATCAGCTACACTTCTTGGGTAATTGTTCTATTTACTACATCCGAGTATCGCCATTATCAAAACAACATGATGAAGTTATTAACTTATTTGATTTAAGAAATCGGAATTCTTTTCTTGAATATAGACCGGCATTTATTTGAACATAATATTTGTATAGAGAATCGTGACGTTCACAGCTCTTCATTCAGCCTGGCGCATATACTTTTTCTCCTGTTCTATCTTTTTCGTCTCTCTATCTACTATGTACAGTCGAAAACAAGTATGAAAAGAGTATACGCAAGGTACAAGAAATCGAAATGCTTGGATTCTGTGGCCCCAATCTGGACTACTATTTATGTTGATATGATATTTCACCTCTTCATGTAGCCCTGCGCAAATACTTTCTTCCTGTTCAGTCCTATAAGCTTGTCAGCGCTGAGCCTCTCACCAAACGTCAGTTCTAGGTGTCTTTTTTCGTCTGTCTATCTACTATGTACAGTCGGAAGATGGTCTTTAGTGTCTTATTTATGGAAACAAATACGGAAATCACAAACAGTGATACAATCTACCTATTTGATCTCGCACTGAGGATACCGTGCTTAGAATAAATACTGTTTCTAAATAAATATCTGGAAACAAATTACTGAAATATTCATAATTTTACCCACATCACAAATTTGATTTTTCTAAAATGGAATGCTCAGCTTTTTATTAAACCTATAACATACTTAGGGATTTTGGTTATTAATTGTTGAATTATTGGGTGTTTAATATAAAAAAAAAAACGTCAAAGATTCACAGCTTGCATCTCTGCTATATTGAGACGGTTGGAGTAATGAATTTTGTGTTGAATTGTTTTTTTTTCACTCAATTTTAGCCTAATTCACCCACTTTTCGAATCTTGATCAACACAGGTCAAAAACGCAAAGTGGAGTTTTTTGCAAAAAAAAATGGTTGGAATACTCTATATATTTTTAGCGGTCCCCACGTTCTTGAGCTTTTTTGATATAAGGTCGTTACCATTTTGTTCTGGTTTCTGCATTATAGCTATTTGTTTAAAGCATGGATATTTCTCTATTCAAACAAGTCACATCATCCGTGGAAAAACAATTACAGGATTATTGACAATCCGTCTATAAAATCAGTTTCTTTATCAAGGAACAAAGTAATTCAATGCTTTTTTGTTGTAATTCATCAATACATAGTGATACTATTACCTAAAATTAATTGTTTGACATGTCTGAAAATAATGCCTACAAGTAAGCATAACTAAAATTTAAACTATTTGTACTACTATGGAAAATGTTCAAAAATGTTACCTTAATGTTGGACACAAAATCGAGGTTTTCGAATGAATGTTCATTTCACCCTTTAAGCTTAGCAGGTGAAAAATTTATAGAATAGGCTGAAATGAAATTTGGCCATAAAATTCCCGGCTCCATCCACATATCAGATATGTAGATTGTCAAACTTTGATGCTGTTTTATATAAAATTTCCATTAATTTACAGACTAATAGCCAAAACCCATAAGAAAGTCATATCAATCGTGTTCGCTTAAAAGGAATATCTGAATGTGTAATAAAAAAGTAGGACATTTCATTTAAGAAAAACCAACTTTTTGTCAAAATTTTAGAAATATGCCAGCAACCATATCTAATAATCCAGTTTTCTTTGAAAACTTTTTGTTTAGGAACAATTCTCCGTCCTCGCACAGTTGGGACACCCTGTATAGAAATTTAACCTACAAGACAGAGATTAGAGCCCGAAAGCCTTCGAACCTATATTTCAACATGTTATTTGCAAAGAAGATGTCATACCTGGCCATATGCCAAACGCTGCGTCCAGAGCTATCACCTCTTCATTCAAGCCGACGTTTTTCTTGGCAAACGTCCGTCGCCTTCACTCATCGGAAACCAGTCGGTAAATATAAATATCCGATATTAATATCCGATCACATCACGTCGCGGACCGATTTAGATTTCAATTAACTTCAGAAGTGCATAACACTTAATTTCGATACTTGCCGAAGAAATATTTATTACCGTTTTATGGTAATTGAGTGCGTTTTCAATCAAGACCGCGGAGCGGAATATAAAAACGAGGAATATTGATTTTATCTGGAATAGTGTGTTGCTTTACTGTCTAATGATTACATGGTGATACTTCTGAAAATCGATCAAACTTGCATTTGTTTGCAATCAGTGCGGTTCGAAAAATTTAACAAATGGGTCATTCTTATGTTCAGCGAAAAATTGTTTTAAGCAAGTAAAATTGTAATTTCCCAAATGGAGCCGTTCAGGTTTTTTATACTTGAATCACCACGAAGGACTAAAGCCTAAACTCGGATGGGTACAGTGGGGCGGGGGACATAATAACTCAATACGCTCGTGTATCTACTCATAATGTATTCACAGAGTGTTACAAGAATGGGCATAGTAAAATGGTAGGTAATATGGACCGGTATCTGAAAATAAAGTGGTCTTGATTCGTTATTTACAGATATACAGGGTGATTTATCTAAACACGTCAAATGTTAAATTTCCCTTATGTCAAGCACGATTGAACAGATTTTGTTGGAATTTTGCACGATACCATATTCACTTTTTTCGGTAATATTCATTTGATTTTTTTGTACATAGTCAAACATTTCAGTACTGAGCAGAAGCATTGATTTCGACAAGAAAACCAAAACAAATTTGGTGAGCTTAGATAAATCACTATGTATATCCGTAAAATTCCCATTGGACCTGATATATGGAAATATCTCGGTTCATACTACCTACCACTTCACTATATCCATCTAAGTATGGAACACCCTGTATGCAATCCAATATTGCACTATAAAAGAGGTGAATACCTCGGCTGAGTACATATCCCTGTACGCATCGTACGTTTATGTTTACGTTGGAATATATACGACAGACATATATATGCAAACAACATATTCATAAAAACACGTGATTGGACGAATAAATGATTAATTAAGTAAATTGGTCCGAGTTTAGCAACGAACGTCGCTGAAATTACCATAAAATTCATGCCGAATGCACCGGAATGCAAAACGTGTATTTTGACCTTTACTGATGTAATCGCGCCCGCAAAGCCAAAGGGTATTTATGCGGTTGGCGTCTATCGTATTTTTGACGGTCAGTATGCCTAAAATCAATCAAATAATTTTTATTACGCTTGTCCTCATGAGGTAAAGTTGGGAAAATTTTACCATTTGGCATATCAAATAACTCGACATTCAATAATCCAAACTAAGATTATTTTACATGTTTCTATAATTTATCGTACCGGTTTGCTAAGATGTAACACGTAGTTTTTTAATTATACCTCATCAAAAAGCTTTAGATTTTTATTGTTAGTGGAACAAATGTGTAAAAAAATATCTTGATGAATAAAACCTTTTATTTAACCAATTTACATACAGAGATAATGGATTAGAAGATAGGTGAGATAGATTACCACCCTAACAAATTAACTTAAGATCCATATAAATCGAAAAGTAAGCATAAGAATCGCTGATTTGGAGTGCATTAGTAAAATAAAAATCACAAATATTGTGCAGTCGACTAGGAAATGAAGCAAAGCTTTCATATGCATCCAATCTGTGCATTGGTGGCACCTGAGTTTAGGGGAGACTGGGGATGATTGTGACATTTTTATTTGATAAAGTAACTAGTCGGAATAAAGGCCTAAAATAAATTTTACGAAAAAGACTAATAGAAATGACATTATTGGAAGAAATCTAAGAAAAGAGATGTTTAACTTTTAACCCCATCCAATGTGTTAGAGTTACGCTACACGAAGTAAAATGTTACAATAAAAATCAAACTTAATAAACTGCTTTTTATTAGGAATAAGTATCATCATCACTTTCTTTTCTTGATGTGTAAAAGACATTTAATTATGTCTTAGGTCAGTCTCTGGCCTCATCAAAACAAAATAATAGTATCCTTCTAACCTAAAACAAAATCACAACTATTCTAACAAAGTCGTCTCATATTCTTAGTCTTACACCTACAACCAATAATTTCCGACGTATACTAATAACATTATAAACCTTTTATTGAATAAACACTTGGTATGAATTAACAATACGTAAATAAAGCCTCATTATCAAAAATAAACTATGCTCTTTAGAAAAAAAAAGTCAGATAAGGAAAACAAAGCACTTCAGTCACTTTCACAATTCAAACAAACGTATTGAGCAATATTTCCCCTAACGCATTTCACATGTGACCAAAGTACACACTGTACCCATTCTTCTCCAGCTTTCTTCGGCTCAAAAGAGTCACAACATATCAGACAAAAATATCCATCACCTCCACTTTCTTCGTCTTCGTCAGTGTCATATAATAACTTCCTCTTTACAGAAATCTTTCTTGTTTCTTTGTTTGTTTTACTTTTCTAACTGGTATTTTCTTGTTCATTATTCTTTCTTGTGCTTGACTTTGTCTTTCTTCCCTAGCTTTTTCTTTCGGTGTGTCAGTTAATACAGCTGATTTGCGAGTTGCGCTACAGCTTTTGAATAAGACCGAACAATCTCAGGAGAAAAAGTATTTTCATGTTTGCTGCAACCAGCAGCTGGGTTAGTGTAAATGGAGTTTTCGGATCTAACTGAGGCACTCTCTATAAAAAAAAGGGAAGAAGGCGGAGCTTGAGTTTCAGCCATCGCGTTCTATGTTCTAGCAGGGATATTTTGGATGTTTGAGCTGGCCGTTTCGTCTATTGGTCTTCCCCGGACTGCTTCTTAGCCAGATATCTTGTTGGCTGGCACAGTAATTTTTGAACGGTTCATAGACCCCTACATCCATGGGAGTTTATGAGAACAGTGTGATAAGAAAGACAGCAGCACCACATTGTTTTCTTTGGCTATTTCGATGACTTCATTATCCAAGAGCGAAGAATGATTGTCCAAGAGTAAGAGCACTGGATCGAATGGAGACGGTTCCACATGATCAATGAAATGTCTCTGAATTCTAGCCCAGTCATCCATCCACTTGAGTTCCCTGCTCCAATGCAGTCTGGAAGTCCGTAGCGAATAAAATAATCCATGTATTTAATTCGTGAGAAGATAAACATACATGGCATCGAGCTTACTGCTGCATTTGCTGCTACGCAGAGAGTGACAAGCTGATGTTATTTAACCAATCTATTTAGATCCTTTTGGGGCCAAAACTTTTCTAGGTTTCTGTACCGTTGTGACCCCTGTTTCATCGACATTCCATATGCGTGAAGAAGTAAATTTATATATATATAGCGTGCACTGCAGTTGATTTAGAAAAAAATTTCAACATTTCTTGATCATATAGATAAAGAGAGATTGCGTTTTAGAAACGCTGCCAGCCAACCAACTTCAGCTTCTGTATTAGAAAGCCAAGGTTTCGGCATCGCTATACCGAACTTAACTGCACAATCAAATGCTACTTTTCTGACATCTCATCATCAATAGTAAATTTGATAGCATTTAATTAAGTAAGTCACCAAAGTGTCTTCTTGTTCTGGATTAAACACTTGTATATTGTTCACGTACCCAACGGTGACAGATTTCATAGGTATACCTTGTTCTTTTGCTTGTTTTCATTCCTTTAAAAATCTTGTTAGCGACATATGGAATAATACAAAGTCTTTGCCGCAGCCAGTTTTCCTTGTTAACATCCTTATCCTACAACAAAAACAACAAATATTAAAGCTTAAATTATATCTGTCAGCAAAAAGCACTAAGGGACAGGTACTGACAAATCACAACCTGCCCCGAGCAATTCTGACTTGTAGCCCCAACCCCAAAAGTGTTAAAGTGTTAAAAATGTTGTACAAAAAAAGCAATTAAATATAACTGTAAAAACAAACAAAAAGGAATTAATTAGGGCGTAACTAACACAACAAACACATTTCCGTTTGTATAGAAATCAGATTCTAGACCAATATTACCAAAAATCGAAAATGTTACTAACCTACAAATTTTCTGGTGCAAGCTTCGAAATAAGTAATTATATCCTCAAATCAACTTATTCTTGAGTAGATTGTAGAACACTTGTGAATAGTGCTCACCCCAAATTTTTATAAGAGCTTTTTGAGACTGTCGATTGAAAATATGGGAATAAATTAAACAACAAAACTGTTATTACTACATACGAGTACATACATATGCTACCTATTTTTAGCAAAAACTATGTAGATGGATCATACGACGAAATTATATTCTTGAGGGTAAATGAAATAGTCGCTCCACTAGGGATGCAAGTGAATTTTAATAAAAGTGTGAACCATCAAAGGTGGGAAAAATCGTTTTTCGTGTATGTGAAAACAAAAATCAGCAATAAATAAGATTGAAAATGATATACTGATTTTTTCTGCACGTTGCTGCTTTTTTGTAAGACTAGAATTATGTAGAACTTTGTTTTGAGATGATTTAATTTTGTGAAAGTAAAATGAGTTTTAGCAGAGGCGTAAATCTATTCAAGCCGGTACGTGAAAATTGTTTTCAGAATTTTAAAACTTACGCAATTTTTTAAGGATTTTATTTCCAAGCAGCGAACTGATATACAGTTACGTCACTTCGTGAGGTGAGAGACTATAAAAAATATGTGAAATTACAGGGTGACTGGATTTTAGATTTGTTTTTTTCATTTATGCCTGTACGTGCGGAGACCGACGATATATTTTAAAACCTATGAAGCATTGGTGTAAGTAGTATACAGAAGTGTTGTGTTAGATGCTTATATCGCCACTCGTGTAAGTTGCATAGATTCAATTCTCCGACTGCTTGTAGTGCGGCGTCCTCGTAAGGAAGGAAATTATTCCGTCACCACGTGCTTGAGTTGGGAATCGTCCCTCTGAGAGTAAACGATGCACATTTACAAAAACTCCGTGATCGGGATGACGAGCAGCATTTGACTACCTCTCACGATAAAGCCTAGCTGCAGCTCTAGGATTGCAAATAAATTTCCGATAAATGAGGTGCATGTGGGCGTATTCCTGTACGGTATACATAGACATGGTGGCGCTACACAATTAATGAAAGTGGCATAACTATCTGTCTTACTATCTCTACCTAAAATTTTCAC